TTGATTATCTTTCATTATCTTTTACTCACAAAGATTACCTTTCCAAGGAGCTCCTAGCACAGGGAGAAGCAACTAAGATTAAAAAACCCTTGTAAAGATTGAACACCAACACTGGATTACAGGAAGAGATGAGAAAAAAATGTTTTGATGTAATGCATCACACAGTATTGTCAACTAAATTATTTTCATTCCATTGCTTTATATTGTTCTTTTGTATGGATGTAAATAATTCAGCATTTACTAATGGGCTCAAGTAGATTCATGTTCATACTCTACCACAAAAAATTCACTTGGGACTTTGGGCCAGTTACACTCCTTCAGTCCCTGCCTATTTCACTGGTTATTGCTGTGGGGATACAATGAAGAGAAATTCTCATGCGAGTCACTCTGTGATTTTAGACGAAAGACAGAAACCAAATACATAAACATAAATGTTGGGTTGTATGATAGGAGAAAACAGATATTGAATAAAACTCTGTGTTTTTATATACTACACTTTGGTCTCCAGAGATGGTAACACCCAGCTGGCTTTTTACCTGTTTATAATTACGCAGGTTTAAGCCTGATTAAATATTTGGATGGGATTCTTCCAGATAATACCAAAACTAGAGGCTAGAAGAAGGCTAAGCATTGTTGCCAGAAAATTAGGCAGACAGCTGTGTCACTGAAGTTGTGAGAAGACAGAAGTTACATTTTTTCAAATTAAGGACCTAAAACATTCCAGTAATTGAAATGGTAGGGATGGCAGGAACACTTCTTTATTCCTCCTCCATTTTTATCTGAAGCTAAAAAGAAGTTCTATAATTTGTTAAATAAAGAGAAGGATACTATTTCATGGTCTTTCTGACCATACACTGATGGTGGCGCAGCAGACTAATAGCCTGTTATTAACATTCAGCTGCCTGCAATTACTGCAAGTTTGAATCTCCCCAGGCTCAAGGTTGACTCAGCCTTCCATCCTTTCTAAGGTAGGTAAATTGAGGACCCAGTTTGTGGGGGCAATAAGCTGACTTTGTATAAATATACAAAAGTATGAAGGCTATTGCTTAACGCATTGTAAGCCGCCCTGATTCTCCGGAGAAGGGCGGCATATAAATCAAATTAAAAAATTAAAAAATTTTAAAAAAAAAAACACTGATTATGCGTGGGAAGTTAAGACTATTAAAACTCAGTGCCCTTATTGCTGTTAATGATGAAAACTTGAGCTCGGTGATCTAAAAGTAATAAAATAGAATAAATGGATGCTGAAAATGACGACAGCTTCTAGAAGTACCAAATGTGCATTCCTTGATTAATTTTTGATTAAAGCCTAATAAGAAAATATAATAAAGTGTGACTTGGTGTTGCTAAAGAATCGTATTTCCTTTAAAACGGACATTACTAGAATGCAATGGTTCTATGAAATATCTATCCTGCACCCAACAGATGGCATGAGTATAAAATCTCTCACAGTAACACATTTTTCTGTTGAAATATAGTGAAGAACAGTAATTTCATTGCTGGTTGCTTATTTTGAGCTGTGTTATAGAAAAGGAACATATTTGAAGATTACCAACAGCAACAGACTGATGGACAAGTTCTCAGTAAGGTGGTTAATCTGTGTCCAAGCTTTATCACTTGTGATTTCTGGTGGGTGGACAGGGTTCATCCCTAGTTGACGCTTCTTTGTAAAAGTAATTATTTCTATATAGAAGACAGGTAGTTCAGCAGCATTTAATTGCTTATGTAGTCCAATACTTCCAGGCTTAAAACCTATCTTTGATTAACAATACAGGCAGGCAGGCAGACACAAAAGGAGAACAACTCACTCAGGCTGTTTTCCACCTTTTTCTCCATCTTCTCCAAAACCCTTTCAGAGCTGGGGCTTTTATGGACAGTTGGAGAATGGGGGTAAGTATACAAAATGGGAGCCCCCTTTTTTAGTTCATCACCTTTGCTATCTTGGCTTTTTTTTATCCATCCCAAGTGGACAACACTGCATCAGAACGTTGGAGAAGCCCATCAAATGCTTCCACTGTTTCTCTGGGAGTAGGAAATCATCCTCTATTGGCAGAGGCCCCTGGAGAAAATATTTTGCCTATGTCTGTTAAATCCTGCAATTTGGCTTCATGTGGGGACCTAATACTTCATTTGTGGATCAATTATGTTTATATTGCAAAGTAGAGTATTACCTGCTTGAAGCTGTTGAAATCTAGCCCTAGATAGCAGAATTAACTTTTGCAGTGTTTATTGAAGAGTGATTGAAGGCTCTTTGGGGGTCCCCCTAGATCAGCGGTCACCAACTGGTGGTCCACAAGAAAATTTGCTCCATTTGCGGGAGCAGCAGGGGTTCGTGCATGCTGCATGCACAAATGGAGCTGCGTGCACACGTGCTTGCCAGTTGCACCTGTGGAACCTTCCCCCCCCCCCCCCCCCGCTGGTTTGCAAAACTGGAAACGCTGGAGAACTCTGCTCTAAGTGATCTACAAAATCAAATATTTTAGTTTGCAAAAGTTTAAAACAATTGGCACTCGTTATTATTTTTTGTTAAAAATCATTTTTTTAAATAAAAAATATGTTAACATTTAATCAATTTAATATTGTTATTTTTGCGATTCTATAAATAAATAATTTTTTCATATGATCAATTTAATCAATATGCTAAATATTGATCAATGCAAGCCATACAAACAAAATCCTCCATAATTTAAAAAAGTGGCTAGGGGTCGTGAGAGCAACATTTTAAGAAACGATGGTCTGTTGTCCCGTTCCTTAAAGTACAATAAATTTTTCAGTTTAAGAAGGGGAAAAAAAACACCATCTCATAGTAATTTTGCAAGAATTCCTTATGTCCCACATCCCTCTGTGCTGGGAGAGTGAGGATACTGTTCAAAGGAGACCACAGTGGAAGTTTGAAAGAAAATCTCCCAGTCCCAGGAAACCACAAAAAAGTGCTCCTAATTCACTAAGAAAGTGCCTAGAAATCTCCCCATCTGAGGCATATTGAAGTAACACAGATAAAGGGATGGTAAATCTCATCTGATGATTGTTTGTAGAGTCATTAACCTTCTTCCTTTTTCACACTTTCTGACAAGGGGCATTGCTTTCTCCTCTCTAAACTTACATTTGTGCCAATATTTGCTCTCATAAATCAGTGCATCCTAACAGCTGTTTTATACCAGTCTTGTGAATCTTATCCTGATCAGTCCTGACAACTGTAAACTTCTGTTTTCTCAGACTCTTTAATGCAAAACACATTTTAAAATCTTTTCTGTCTCCATTGCCAAGGCTGGGTTGAAGTCTTGTTTCAACCTTAATATTTTATGCTGTATTTTTTAATTGTTTTGCCCTAGATACTAATAAAACACATGAGAATTTACTGACCCTATATCTCCAATAATTAATTATTTTTTATGCCACCCATCTCTCCAATAAGGAGATTTAGTGCCTTATAATGCCAGCTGGCTTAGTGCCTGAGGCAGGACTAAAACTTTGATCTCTTGGTTTCTAGCCTGATGCCTTAACCACTACACCAAACTGGCTCTGAATAATATATTGCCCTGTTTCCCCCCCCAAAATAAGACATCCCCTGATAATAAGCCCAATTTCAGGGTTCAAAAAAATATAAGACAGGGTCTTATTTTCGGGAAAACACAGTATTAGTGTATCTAACATAGTATAATGTAAGAAATGTTCTGTTAACTGTAAACATGATTAATCGTTTCATGATTGACATTCAGTTATTGGGATTATATGTTAGCTAATGGACTAAGTTAGTTCCTCTGTCCTTAAATTACATTTCCCATCAGTACTTGGCCAAAGTTAATGAATAATGAAGATCAATCGTGTATGTGCAGAGCTGCTTTTCCACTTCTGGACCCAATCATATTTTTTATTAGATCAGTAATTATCATGATCCCTTTATAAAAAAGAAAGTCTCTTTCAAGATGATTTTGACCTCTGGTCACTCTGTACACACACACACACACACACATTTATATTTCGCTGATAAAGAAATAAAGGGAGACTAGTATAGATCTATTTCAAGCTATTCAGCTCTCATCAGCTAGCCATACCCTTACTTATACATAAATTTTTATGATAACACTATGGAAATAGCCATCTATTTATTTTATATATGTATTTATTAAATTTATATGGCTTCCCATCTCTTGAAAAGTGACTCTGTGCAGTATAAGCAATAAAACTACATATTAAAAACACACAGATACAACAAATACAAAAATCACATTTAAAGTATCATAAAAACGAAGATTCTAAGATTTTTGGGGAGGGGGGAGGGAGTTATTTTCCACCTTACTGTATAGCTTTAGGCTAAAGGGCCAGTTTGGTCTAGTGGCTAAGGAACCACGATAGAAACCTGGAGACTGAGAGTTCTAGTCTCGCTATAGGCATGAAAGTCACTCTCTCTCTCTGAGCCCATGAGTTCAAGCTCAGGTGACAAGCCAGTCGTCAATCAATTCCTGTTGCAACCAAATGGATCAATACTCAGTTGATCTTTCAAAAGTGGAACCTGCACTTGTGAGAAAATGCTAGGAAGAAAAAAAATATATAGCCTTAGGATTCTTCAATGGAATTGTCTCATCCAAATGCCAATCAGATCCAACCCTGTTCAAGTTAAAGTGCTCTAGGTGCTACCATCTGCTATGACTCACAAATAGTTGATTAAACACATTAAATTGTGGCTAAGCCTAATTGCTTTTATTTTAAAAAGAATAGCACCTGAGCAGGTGTGTCCACAATGTATGGTCAAAAGGATCAAGATAGCATATACAATGCACGGGGGGAGGGGAGGACTGAATTTCATCATCCGGATTTTTTTTGACCACATCCCAGGGATACCCTTGCAATTATGTGACCTAGCCCAATCTTACTATATCATGATCTGTAATGCAGGTGAATTTCCCCACTGTTCACTTAATTAAACTTCATTTTTAAAAAGTTAGTTCTCAGTAAAACAATGCATTTGGTTTCTCTTTATCTTTTTCAAAAAAAAATAGGCAGAAGCTAGAATAAAAACTGTGGAAGCCCTTGAGAACTTTGACTTTGGTCAGACGGAGAAGTGTGTTAGGATCAATTCAGTGTCTAGTGGTCTTGCAGAAGAAGATATGAAGGTCATTTTGAAATCCAAGATTCTTCCTACTAGCCTGATGCTCCCGAAGGTTGACAACGTAGAAGAAATAAAATGGGTGAGTTTTATCTGCCATTATCTCAGATAAAGGCTTGCGTCCAATTTCAGAAGGGAAGAAACAAAATGATATCATGAAGCAGATATGAAATACTTCTGCTGTTAGTACTTGATTCAGTTCATCTACTGTATAATTTACCCTTTTTGTTTTGGAATATCAAAAAGTAATTTATCTTCTCTTAAGCAAAACCTAAATCAGATTTGAGAATTGTGATGGTTGTCCTATGCAGTTCTAAGATATTGAACATAGTAGACTTTCTTAGCAGGGGAGAACCAAATCACATGAATACATTTAAAACTCTATTTTCAAGACCCACAGGACAAAGAGAATAGTTTGTAACCGCAGATGCATTATGTATGTATAAAAGGAGGTGGATTTAGAAATGCAATATTGATATATTATGATTCAGTTTGGACAAAGTAAAATGAAACAAAAACTGTTAAGAATCAATGCTTCTGTTCATTATACTTGAAGCCTAACAGTCATGACATAGAATTTATTTTCCATGTTAGAACATTTTGGTGGATGGAGGAAGCATTTTACCAACATGTGAAGAAATTATGGTGGAGATAGAAGGAAAGGTCACTCCCAAGGGCAGCCCAAAGAACAAACAGGAAGCTTTTAACTAGCGTTTTTAATTAGGAAAGATATTATTTCCTGTCCAGCCCTCTATGTCTTCCTTTTAAATTGCTGGCAGGTGTGTTTGTTTTTCATGACTGGCTTTTCAGCCAATAGAAACTGGAGATTGTAAATGATTAGTCTGTCAAATTGCATAAGAAAATGCTGAAACGGGCCTAATTATGCTATAATTGTGTTTACTATTGAAGAAGAATTTTCATTTCATTTTACCATATTATTTCTTGAGAATATTATTGAAGTCAATCGAGCTTCATTTTACTTTGTTTTCTGAGCCTGGTATAGGGATGAAGACAAGCACACATTAAATATAAAATCCATAAAGGAAAAATATGAGGATAAATAGATTCTGAAGTTCAATCACGTGTCCTCACCTAGTCTTCTATATCCACTAGTATTAAGTGGCCATAGGTTCTTTATAATTCTTGCCCAGTCAGCAAGTCAGGAGAGTATTATCCAGTAATTGAGTCTACTTCTTAATCGAATATCAGTGAAAGAAAACATTCCAACATTCATAAAACCTAATGTCCAGTATGTTCAAGCATACTCACAAGGAATTATTTCATTATTTTATCAGATTCAGTGGCTCTTTCAGACAGCAAGATTTACATTTATAATTGTATTTAACACCTGCTATAAAGAAGATTGGAAACTAATTCTATCTATTTTTCTTGCTTTGTATTTTAACTTTTTTTCCTTTCTTGCAATTTTAGCTTTCTCTTTTATTTCTTTTTCTGTTCATTTTCTTTCTTTACATTAGTTTGTGTTAATATACTGGTGTACACACACACACACACACACACATATATATATAAAGTTTGTACTTTATATTTAAATATACAAAAAGTGTATTTTGTAGATATATAAAAGGCATATGTAAAAAGACAGCAAAATCTAAAGGCCTTTTGTTGATTGAACAAACAGCAGACTAACGCATTTGAGAGTTGGCTATGCATATTCATATTTCCACTCTATCCAAGGTTTTAGAATGGTTCAATAAACATTCTCTTGGTGTGAGTGGACTGGAGCCTCAGCCTTGCCTTTTCCTGGAAGCAGAGCCCATCTTTCCTTCCCCAGCTCTTTCCTACAGGCGCTCCTCTCACTTTGCTTTTAAGATGGCTATTGCTATGGAAAGCTTTTGGCTGTTTATTTTTGTCCTTCATTTTGATTTATGCGAAGCCTAAAACCTGGAGACTGATGCACAACTAAAAGACGGGCTTACTTGTTCCCTTTTGTGTGAGAATCTCTTGCTCTCTCTTTGTCCTTCAGATGGGTACTTGTTTGACTGGCATGGCTTATTGGACTATAACAAGCCTAACTCTGGCTCTTTTGTTGTGGGACAATCCGCCCACAAATCCTGAACAGTGGGCATTCTTCCCAACACACTATCGGGTGTGCACTGGAATTGAAAGAATGGCTAAAGCCTGCGCCTTCATCCCCTCCCCAATCTTTGTTTTCTGTCTCCCCCCTTTCCTTTTTTCCAGCCCTCTCACTGAAATGAACACTTTACCAAGCCGGAAACATTTAATTGTCTCCTTTTGAAAAAAATTAATTGAAACTTCTCCACTAGTTGCCTTTTGTATTTGGTGCTAATAGTACTTAAAAGGGGAAAAAAGGAAGGAAGGAGGAAGACAAAAATAATTAAAATGGGAAAAAGAAACATTATTGGATCCAAACGTTACCTGATGGTCCTAAAATGCAAGACATAAAGATTTCAGCAGATACATAAAAGTAGCTCAGGGGAAGGGGGGGGGGCTTCCATTTTTTTAACCATTTAGCTTACAAAGAAGCTCCAATGTAAAATTTAAATTTTGAGTATGAACCAATTCTTGCCTGTGAAGTTATTAGTTATTAGCTATTAGTTATTAGCTTTGTTTAATTATCACACTGTTGGGTCTAGCATCAGATTGTGGCTGTGTCCATTTAATTGGAAATCAGGCCATTGGCCCTTACTTCTGAGTAGGGAGGTTGATAGAGGGTTGGGCTTCCTTCTTTTTCATGCACAGTCATCATTGTCACCACTGCCACTGCTTTTCCGATCTTTTCACACTAAGCTTGTAAACCCCAAAATGTAAGGAATTAAGGGGAGAAAGTCAAGAAAAGGAAAAGAAGGAAGGATGGAGAATATGCAGAAAGAATGTTTTGGTTTATTTTGACCTAATGTAAAGTTACTGCAAAGTGCTTAGAACCCTTTTCAAGATGCTGTGGTTCTATTTTCCTTTTGTTTTGGAGAGGGGTGAAATTTTGGGGGGGGGGGAAGAGAAGCGCTAAAAGGGGAAATAACACCTCTAATCCAGTTTCTGGTAAATAGGCTGCCAGGTTTCAAAATGAGTTTCCTTTATATTAGTCAGAATATTATGCTAAGCCTTAAGCATTAGTTTTTTATGTTGCCATAGCAGCCTTATTCCTGCAGGGTTGTGACCTGTGATGATTACAGTACAAAGCTTATAGGGACTTGAAACCCCCTTTGAAGATGAAAAGTCTTTGATGGTTTATATTTATGCAAATCTCTTAGATATGATTTACCCAACTGAGACTGAATGGAGAGATGATTAAAATTCCCTTTCCCTTTGATACCCATTAATGGTTAAATATTCCTTAAATATAAAAATGATGCGAGATTTTTTTCCCCTCCTGTCTTTATTGACTAAAATTTACTTAGCATACCTGTGATATGTTTATCTCCCCACACATTGCTAGATCTGGACAGACATAATAGATTTACAATATACTGAGGTAGTTTCTCCCCCACCTTCTCTTTTGAAAAGGGAAAAAGAGAAAAAAAGAAATCTGTACAAGAGCTTTTGTATGTTCCCAGATGATAGATTTTGGAATCAGGGGTACCCCACCGGCAGCTCAGAGCTAGCTGTGAACTGCTCTCATGGAAAAAATTGGAAAGCTTTGGTCTTCAAAGAATTAAACTTCCTTTTTAAGGCCCTTCCTAGGTAAGCTAAAAAATATGAAGAAAAGGCCTCCAGGACAAAGGGTAACAGGGCCGTGATGAATAATGTGGATGCCACTTTGGAAGGCTGGAAAAAATACACAGGCATGTCAGTGTCAGACATGAAAGAAAACAGAATGTCAGGTATATCAATCCTTCCTTGTTTTACAGATCCTGCTTATTTGCATTTAACAAAGGCAGGGTGATGATAGGTGTTAGGCAAATATGTGTGCAGCTAAACCTGTAGTGCTGAAAACAAAAGAGTAATGCCAGCATTCTTCAAGATAGGCCTATAACAACAGACTCAAAACACAGGGGCAGAGAATTGGGGCTAGCAATCTGGACTCTGGATTGCCTGCTTGGTTGGTCTGCAATTTTGTGCAAAGAAATTACAGACCATTTTTGTAGAGGTTTTAAAAAGCCCAGGCCTTAATATTATGTCCTCTCTGTAATGTTCCTAGTTTATAGAGAACTGTGCGTGGCATTTACAAGGCCGAACACTCATAGAGCCGATCAATTTCATTCCTTTTGTGGAAACTGCAATGGGTTTGCTCAATTTTAAGGTAAGAACGATCTGTTTAATTTAGCATGCGTGAATACAGTCCTAGGCTTATAGATTATACGTTCCGTTAAAGAAATAAATAACACCATCATAAATAGAAATGGGAAAGAAGCAAACTATTACGTTTTAAAAATTATATTGCTTTCATATTTTATATAAATCCATTCATTAGCCCTAATTATTCAGCTTTACATGACATAGCTGCATCTGGCATAACTGCTTTCTTCTGTACTGCTGCAATTACTTTAAGCTCGTATTAATATACTGAATAAAAGACACGCAAGTCTCAAAAATAGCCCCAAATAGTTAAAAGTGTTTCTAAATATTCTAACAAGTCTCATGATTTATTTTCTCTCATTTGCCTTTGAATTTTAGGTATCATATTAAATATTTTAAAAGCATTTTAAAATGTAATTGAAAGAATATTGGAGATTTATTTTTCTCCAATATTCTTTCTTAGATTTTTTTTTTTAATGTACATGCTCAACTGGCCCTAACAGTTAAAAAAAAATACATGAAAATTTCCAGGATGTAATATCTGCATGACATGACTCTGTGCACAATCTCTTTCTCTTCTTGGCCCCAGAAATCCATTTTCTACCTCCTCCCCCATCTCAATGGTGATGAATGCATGCAGATAACCTATTTTTGGCATCCGGCCTGCAGTTTTCTGTGGAAGAAAGATATTAATGCTGAAATTGAGTGCAGCCCAGTCAGGCCAAGATTTTTTGTAAAAGTTTGGTGTTATTCGAAAGAGCTGCTGGGAGGCCCTTGTGGCTAGTGTGTTAATATAAATCCCAGTTTCAGAAATTTCTTTTTCAATATAGGCTAAAGAAATACTAATTATACATCTTAATGCAAAAAGTTTAAGTACTTCCTCCTCTCTTTTAATTAATATTATGCCTTTCCTCAAAAGTGAAACCCAAAGGAAAAGAACAATTAAATTCTGCCCTGAAAAATATCAACTATGATTTCCTATGCTTAGGAGTTGTAGAGATTAAAGTAGCATCACAGGTACTGATTATGTCTGCTTAACGTATTGCTTAAAATAATAAATACAAACAACTGAACTTATTTTAGCACTGGTAATTCACAAGAAGATCCTTGCCAGAATTGCATTATTGCTGTCTACCAAATTATATTTCTAAATAAATAAATATTTTATTATTCAAAGCTTGCAATGATACTGGGATTGGTGCATTTGGAAAATCCCCAAGGTATCATTTGCTTTTCATTTTCTATGCTACTTGTTGCATTTTATATCTCCTGTAATTATATTAATTTGAAGATATCTAAGGAGCATCAGTTGATAACATACCATATGCTGCCTATTAAATTGTGAGTAGTTGCAATCTCCATCTGCAGTGTATTAAACCAAATATGCTTCAGTTGTGTTTCTCTGCAGTGCTAAATATTTTGGAATCTTTTAAAAAGTTCCATACTGTAAACACCATGTAGTGGTTTTTGTTTTTTTTATTGCTTTATTAAATCCAAAAGTAGTTGCCACATTGGAAAACTTTATCAGAAAAACTAACAGGGAAATAAAATACTATATTCTGCATTTTAATTTTAATTATACGGCATTTTTGCATCCAGAATATGTATTTTTTTTTAATTTGTGTGTGGCTATCATTTGTTATTATTTTAGGATAAGGAATATAGTAAAAAGTGTATTTTTTATTACAAAACTAATTTTTGTTATTACAAAACTAATGCTGCTTCTTGTATTAATATTTGTGTTGCACTTACAGGCTGTTTGTGAAGAAACTCTGAGAAGAGAACCACAGGTTGGCCTTCATTTAGATGCTGTGGTATTTGGAGGCGAGGATTTTCGTGCCAGTATAGGTATTTCCTTTTTAAAGGAATATGTTAATTCAGTAGTAGTTATGATACTGTGCTCCATTCAGTTTTCATAAACCTACTTAAACCTACAGTAAATATATTTGACTATATCTGATTGTAATTCTATGATAAATGTTTGCATTATCTTTATAGGCTAAAGAGTACCAGAATTTTGTAATTTTTGCAAAAAAAAAAAAAGAAAATAGAAAATTCTGTTTACTGGCTCATAAAAAATAATGTAAGATTTTATGGGGGAAGTTAATAATGAAACCATCTCTTTATATTGCACATTTAACATTTTTTTAAAAAATTCTCGAAGTAATATTAGTGTGTATATGATGTAATATTTTGGTGTACGAACTATGAACTATTCTTAATATTTTAGCAATCTGTCTTTATTTGCATGTCTATTTTATTACACGCATCTTAACATATGTGCTTGCTGCCTGGGGATACAAGAGTTGTAAACCAAGACATATGGAGGGTACCAGATTAAAAAAAAAAAGCCATGGGCAAATAATTTATTTTTATTGCCTCTGTATCTTCAGATGCTGTTTATCATTTTTCAAAAAGTAAACAAGGTCAGCAGCTTTTCTTTTTACTATTCACTTATGGCAGGTGCCTAAGTGTGAACTGTATTGCCTAATAAGAACTCGTGGATTATTTTCCCACAATGCAGGATTCCATATTTAATTGACTATAGCTTGGGGAATTAACTCAATTTCCTAGATCCATACTGAGTTATAAACTTATCACGTTGGGTGCTTTCCACACACACTAAGCCACAGACTAGACAGTCATATTCTAGTCTGACATGTGGACCCAACCTCTGATCACAATGCAGTTTAGAATCAGTCCTTCCAAAAGAAAGGAATTCAATATATAATGATGAATAATAAGATCTTCAGCAGATTTCTTGTGAATGCTACAAAACAGATCTCAAATATTCCACAAGGTATTACATATAAACATTCTTCCCAAGTTAAAATTTTAAATTTGAATAAATTATAAGAGAAATTAGTATACTTACATAAGTGTAATGTATTTAACCAAAAGGTTTCTTTATGATATCAAAAAAAGAAATTTTAGATGCATTTAGTGGCACTACTCTGGATTAAATGAGTTCAGCAACATTTAAGGATATTTTCTTAATGTTTGTGTATGTTTTATTATATTCATAACTTTGTAGTGGGCCTTTTTAACAAATAAAAATAGATGATAGCAAAACTAAATGAAAATTATTAAAAAGAGATGTAGCAAGAAGCTTTTGCAGAAAGCAAGTGTCTGTGAGTTGAATAATATTCTTTCAGCCATGTCTTTAAAATTGTGATCACATAACAAATATCTTATTGTCTTTCTTTTGCAAATGAAAAATAAATGTATTCTTAACTAAAGCTCTGTTGCAAACATTTGTAATATAAGAATTAAATTTATATCCACAATGTGGTTTTTTGTTTCAGGTTCAACAAGTAGTAAAGATACTCATGATATTCTTTATGCACGGCAAAAAATTATCGTCACAGCGAAGGCTTTTGGCTTGCAGGCCATAGACCTTGTCTATATAGACTTCCAGGATGATGATGGGCTACGTCAGCAATCAAAAGAGGGTGCCTCAATGGGTTTTACTGGTATGCTTTTTAGTTAATATTTCAAATATGTTAATCTTCTTCTTAATCCTAGACTAGATACGATACTGGAGTTTGCTTCATAAATTAAGCCTACTTGGTGGATGGTCAAAGAAGTCTAAACACTATAAACTTTTCAGAATTTATGCTTGTAAAACAGCAGATGAAAGACTCAAGGTGGAAAAATTAAGCTCTTAAAATTCTTTCAACGTATCACACCCTGGTGTCATTCTTTTATTAGCAAAAGTACAATATAAACAATGCGTAGTCTCCTGCCCTTACCATTCAGGCGAGACATAATCTTGGCCAAAAATCTGGGCACATTCCGTTTTCCCATTCAGCGAGCCTGCAGGCATACTTTCATGCTCAAAAATTGTTCCCACCGCACTTTGAATGTCAGAGGTTTTAAAAGTCTTTAGCTGATTTGACCAAAACTTTCTCCTATATACAAATAGCTATTATAGATTCAATTGAATAAGTGGGGGGGAAATGTTGAGAGCCAGCGTTTTAATATATGAGAAGCCCCCACCCCCACCCCGTATGCTAATTCAGCTTTGATAGCTATTTTCTTGTCAGTCTTCTCTGTGAGCTGCTGTCCTGTATTCTGACTTGTTTCCCAGTAATTGCCTGTTCACCTGATGACACCTACGGGAACTGGCAAGACTGCACAATCAAGCAAGCTTCTTACAGCCAGCCACTGTAACCTAGGCATTTCACCCATGATTGGTACACTAGATCATACAAGCACCCCTGTGAGATGCGACACATAACAAAGATTGCAGCTTCGTGATAAAAATCAGCTACTTAGCTCACACATGCAGTCTTTAATGTGCTTTGAAAAATAACAGCACCAACATTGCAGCAATACATTTCATTTGTTTTAGATAGAAGATATGCAGGTTTTAATACCAGGGAGTTCTTAATCTAATAAGAGGCAAGTTTTAAATGAAAAGATCTGATTCCAAACATGATATCTTGCTGGCTTCTGGGGAAATTAAAACTGAAAGAACTGCCTGAATTGCTAGGTGGCATGGAGAATACTTATCCTGAAAAATACAGACACAAACACACACACTCACACAAGCTAGTTGGATTTGTTTTCCATTCTTCTAAATAAGAATTTACAAAAAGAACCAACCAATGAATTGATTAACAGCAAAATTTGTGCATGTTTCCCACTCGCTTGATTAAAATTTTTTTGCTAATATTATTTTATAGCAAAAAGATAAAATCTCCCTCAAGTTGAATTTGACTTCTATGTCTGTCTTGTTCTCTTGACAACATAGAAGTGGTTTCTCATTGCCTCCTTCCAATCTGTGCTCCAACTTTCTAAGCTTTGATGGTCGCCATTAATTAGAACTTTTGAATATTTCAAGATTGGTCCCAGTGACCTAAGGATCTACTTACTCTTAGCAAAAGAAAATCTTTCCTTGAAAAATTGTTTGGAAAAAGACCTTTTCACCTGCATTAAAGCTAGCTCAGTGATAACTAATCTAATTTTTTTTAAAAAATCATAGGAGTGGCCCATCGCAATGTTTTTTTAAAATTTCATTTTTGTGCTACCATTAGCATTTGCTGTTACTGATGTATATCTTTTTAACACATGATGAGTATTTCCTATTGATATTATTAGGTTTAAAGTTGGTCAGCAGAATTACAGCTTGCTTTGCTTGTTGCTGTGTTGTAACACAGCAGCTATAGAATTTTCCCCATGTAGTTTAAAGTATTTCAGCTTGATCCTACAAACCTTATTCCATTATCATATTTGCTTATAGCCAAATTACAACCTTTTATCAAACAAACAGTTTTATAAAAATGAGTTCAATGATTGTTTAGAAGAAGGTTGGATCTTCTAAATAAGATCCTATCTTATTTGAGAGTCCACTCAGAAGCTCATTAGCTACTTTAAAGAGTTCTTGCTATATGACCAGGATTGAATTTTTAAAGAATAAAATGCTCTTCCTAATTCAGTGGTACCCTGTACGTGATTTACAGGCACAATGGCTTAGGTTATCAACATATCATTTTTAATCATGTGAGCATTTTCTCAAAAGAGAAAGAGCTTCATCAGTTTTAAAATTCAGCTGAAGAGAAGGTTGGTTTTGGTCAAATGGGAAATTAAGTATGGAGGTGAGGGCCAGAGGAAAATTCTGCAACCCATCTAGCCAACGGATCTTTACTTTCCAGAAGAAGGAAATAACAAACCAATTTTTATTGTTGCCTATCTGTAAGAACATGGCTGAAGCATTCAAACAAGTTCCAGGTATATACTATGGATTGAATGATGATGAATGATTAGCATCACTTAGCGTCAATAAGAGTGCCAGGATGCTATGATCTGGAGAGCATGCAGCCAGAAATAAAAGATTCAGTACACTTACCTTTGAAAATAATTGGAAGAGATAGGCAAAACTGAAGGGGGGGGGATCCCAAAATTTTAAAGACAATAATAGCTGTCAGAACAACAGCTTTCCTTAAAACTGAAAAAAACTGGAGAATGGGAAGAACATCTAACTTTAAATGCCAAGAAGAAAGAATAAAAGAATAAATACCTTGTTCAAGAATATCACCAAGCAGAGGGAAAGAGAAACACGAGATGTAGTTTTAAGAAAATCTTGAGAAATCATAGGAAAAAGTAAGGAATATTAATTACAGTAGAGATCTATTACAGCTAATAAAGGTGAAAAGGCTGTACTGAACCCTTATATAAATTAAAGTACAAAATGATAATGACAAAAATATGCTTATTTGAGACAGAGAGCACTGGAAAGACACCGGCCTAGAAACTGGAAATAATTGGAGGTTACACTGAACTGAAGAAATAAAAAGGAATGTACAAATTTCTGACTTATTGTACTGATTCCTCACACCAAAAAATTTTAGCTTATGAACTTAGAAAAAAACAAATATGGAAAGAGAATAAAGCCAAATGAACTATCAAGTATCAAAAAAGGCAGAGAGACACAAGGTCAGAAAGTGAATACTGTAGAACGTATATACTAGATGGAAGAAATGAATACAGCAAGGAAGTAGAACTTGCTTCATTGTACAACGCAAGGTTATAGATTGTAAAAAAAGGATATTATCCCAATTCTATTTAATTTACAATGATTATTGTGATAATTTACAGTCATTGTGTGTGAGTATTTGGGACTCTAATATGGATTGCAGACTTGGAAATTATGTTATCTATATCAGAGTCCCAAACACTAACTATTAGAGATATGACATTATTGTTTAAGCCAAAAGTAAGCAAGACTTAGAAAAACTTATTATGAAAATAAAAAAAGAGAAAGTGAAGAATCAGACTTAAGGTATAATATTGCATATGCAGTTAGTGTCAACCAGCCTACCTAATTATAAGTTCACTTAAACCTAACAGCGAAGAAGTGAATTTTGTTGAAGAAAATATGATGAAGAACAAGGATATTTCTATCTCAGCAAAGAACAAGACAGTTAAAGCACTGGTCTTCCCAGTGGCCCCTGGCTATGAAAAGTTGCACATTAAGAAAGAATGAAAGAAGATGTTTTCAAATTATCAATCTAGAGATATTTTCTGACGGTACCATGGAATGCAAGAAAAACTCCACATCAAATGAAAACTGATAGTTCTCTTGAAGTAGGAACAGCAAGCAGAAATTCACATACTTTGGACCTGTGATTCAAGCTGATAGATAAGGGACTAGAAAAATCAACTATGCCTGGCAAGTTTGAGAAGACAACAGATAATAAAGAAGATGGATGAATCAAAGAAATTACAGATCTGTCCCTGGAAGAGCTACAAGTTGTGACTAAAGGCAGATCAAGATATCAAGCATTTGTCCACATAAGTACCATAAATTTAAAACTTAATAACACATAGCTAACTGGGGAATTAACACCAATGGCAGGCAAGTCCAGATTATATTAAATTTCTAATACATTCCTTTATACAATCCTTTATAATACATTCTCAAGATGGCCACTTTACCTCAACTTTACCACTGTTGGTTCAGAACCTTGAAATGATTAACCAACCAGCCATCTGTTGGAGAATCAAAATCAAATAAATTACCCTCAATATTTGTTAGCATGTACCTCCAAGTATCAGTTTACTATTTTATCCCCAAATAAAGGTTATATAATAACAATCCTATCTGGTTCTGTATAGGATTGGGCTAAGTATTAATATACGGGTATAGACTTGGTCAATTTCACAATGGATTTTGCAGATTTCTAAACACTTTACCTATTCAAGATAAATATGAAATCTTAAGACAATTATGTTTCGTATTTCTATAGGTGGGCAGAGAGCAAGATGTTGACAATAGTTGATTTGTAGAGCAAATTGAGCCTAATCTAGAATTTCATAACTCCATGCTATTTCCCATTTGAGGTTTCTCTGAGTTATGGGCCTCATGTAAAATATATAGAACCCAAATTCAGATTCTGAAATGTTTCTTACACAACCTGGCAATTTTTCTTCAAATTCAAAAAGTCCTAGCTTTCAGCTTTTGTTGCTTTGTTTGATAAAACCATTTCAGGATATTTTTGAATGCAGAAGTAGATAGATGAGGATATGACACCAGGATAATTTGTGGAAAATATTGAAGAAGAGCTGAGATGGTTTGCTATCATCTAACTTTCTCATCTAACATACTGTTTAAAATTTTGTTTCTTCCAGCTTCCTCTTTAACTTTACACTGACAGCATAAAAAAAGCAGAAAACAACAAATTTGCATATTAGCATCTACTTGACACAACTTCTTCTATTTAAAACTAGACTTGGAGCAATATTATCAGAAAAGTGTGATAGCTTTTACCATGGCTATCAATAATGTTCGCTAAGAATGACTTTGATAGGAAGGATCCATATGCAGGCATATACGGGAGAAGGAGTATCAACAAAGTTAAGATGACAATTTCAACTGTATGATCAAAGCCTTGTTCCTTTATTGGAAGAATCCAAAACAAAATCTCTTATCATTGAACTAGTGCATGAATACATCCCTCAAGGCTTTTTGCCTTCATGTAATAAAAAGTATGCATATACACATATTTTTAAAAAATGTTGACATTTAATATAATTTTAGAACCCATAATTTCTCATACAGTTTTAATTTTTTAATATATTTTTATTAAAAGTTTTAAGAACTAATAAGAACTACAACAAATGAAATTAGAAAGAAAAAGTGAAAAATAAAAAAGGAACATAAAAAGCTAAAAGTGCAATAAGTTGATAGGCATTTCCAGTCACCAATAAATGTGGATATTGTCTTTTCGCTAATGAAAGATGCTACTTTATCCATCTCAGTAAGATTTGTCAATTTCACTAGTCATTCCTCCATAGTGGGTAGCACCAACCACTAGTCATCTACTGTCCTTAATGATAATCTGTAGTTCTTCACAATATAAAATGTATTATTGACTCTTTATCCATTTAAAATCTTCCTGAATCACAATCGTGTTCATTCCCAGAAAAAGACAACTCACCAAGAGTCTTGAGAATTTTTGATCTTCTCTCCTGTTCAGAATATCTCTCTTAGATTGTAAATTACTAAATTATATGTCTGTAAAGGCTGCTTAGTTGTTAAAGTCATGCCGATAATCTCTTGACTCCTAAATCGTTCAATTTGCAATCTGCCACAAGAAACTCAATTCCTGTGGTCTCCTTGGGAGGAGAAGCTCTGCTAGGGCAGAAGTGGACAATCCTCCAAACTCTTCTTCTTTTTGAAAGATTTTTGCAAGCCAGAACCTGGCTCCTGACCGCCAATTTCACTGTGCTGATGTCCGTGCTCATGGAGCCGCTCATAGGGACATCTAACTTACCATAGGTCCTCATCTGGAAGTCAAATTTCTTCAGTTCCAGTTAAAACGTTCTTATGAAAAACATTCATAATGAACTTTTCAGAACTACTATGGTGAAGGAAATGTAGGATGACTTCGTTTTCTTTTCATATTCATTCAGTAATAAATAAAAAATTTAATTTCATACAAATATACAAAGTACAACTGATCACTAACTCATAGTACCTCTCTGTTTTGTAATTCTGCACGCCCCTCCAAATTTATTTGACACCAAAAATATTTGTTTTTTTAAAAATATCACTGTTAGTTCCTACCAAAGGTTCTTAAATTCCTTCTTTTACCTTAAAACTTTTACTGTATAAATAGTATGAATTAAGTATAAATCCCATATTAGTCTTTGTTCTGGATTGCCCTAGCAATGAAATAGATATAAGATCCCAATGCTTATAGCTTTTATATGCATTGTATATTATACATATTTAATCAACATTCTGAAATGCATTGTAGTTTTTTAAGGCCATGTTTGATAACTGTTAATCTTTAGAGCCTAGGGATTTATATTAAGACCTTGGGTTTAATTCAGATTTGGCCATACTAACAGGAAACCATTTAAGATCAATGAAGTCTATGTTAGTCGTGACTGTCTCCAGCGAATTTGTTGGACACTTAAGAACACAAGGTATTTGGATATACAAGGAACAATAACATGCAATTGCAGCTTTTTAGTGTTTTGCTGATCTTAAAAGATTGAAGGCCTTTTGCCATGTATATAATTTTAAAATTCCACCCACATTTTATTAAAAAAAGTCTCAATTTAAAATTTAAAATTAAAGTTTAATTTAACAATAATTTTGAGATCCCTGTTTTCAAAAACAACGCTTCTTTTGAAATATATTTTATTGGGGCTTTCATCATGAAATATTTGTGCAAAATTGTTCTGAAATTATAATTTAATTGCTTACAAGTGTAATAGAGTGCAAATTCAGTACGTCAGTATGTTGTTCATTCTTGTGACATAACTTCAAATATCTTAATTTGGAAAAATCAAAATTTGAGCAGGACACTAATGTTTTTAGAGCAATCATTTGTTTTACAATGTAGCCATAGAACAGCTGAAAATAAATACCTGAAAGTTATGGAGCAGCTGAATCTCACATTACAAATACCTCAATTATAAGTGATAACATAATTAAAATCTGAAAAATAATGTAAATTGTGGTTTCTAAAGGGTATCTTTAGCTTAAAACAGATCTCTATATTAATACATTCCTGTAGACGTGGACAAAATTGACCCTAAATCTTTTAAAAGTGGAAGCAAATCATTAAAAATAGTTTTCTTTCCCCTTAGAATTTCTAAAATAAAATAAATAATAATCTGCACTCTACATATAAAATTATGACTATACTATGGATAAAATTAACCACTATACTATTGAAATTCAAAATACTGAAATAATTATATATTCTTTCCTGATGAATAATTTGTCATAGTACTTCTTGAAAGTACATGATATCATTTAATTATTTTTAATTGTTTTGCTTGTTCAAGAAATATATTTCAATCATTTTTCAGTATTTCCAAGTACTGTATACTGAAGACACTTTTTTTAAAAAATGAAACACACGCTATATTGTAATTACAAAATTGTGAAGAAAAAATGTAAAATGTTAATTCGTTGAGCACTTTCAGTTAAATTTTATGTACAGTAGTTTGTCTTGGCTGGCCAAGCAAGAACAAAACGGTAGTCACATTAGAAAAAATATAATCCATGTTGCATCATTTCATTAAGAAAGAGAACATTTGCATGGATCCTGTCTAATATTTGTGAAAGTCTTCATTTTGATATGGAACAAGCTATAAATAAAATAAGTCGCCATAAGTCTGTATTGATATTAACTACATAAGGAATATTTTCAATGAACTTATTTAGAATTATAAAGTATTACCCTGTGCTTTATGTTTAGGTATAGAAGTTCATTTCAGAATTAATTTAAATTCTGGTTTGAATAAAAATTTGCCAAACAGGTTAAATTTCAAAAGGGAGCTAATTTTAAGATGATGATGATGATGATGATAGTTCTAGTGGTAATAATAATAGTAATGGGAAACTGTTAAACATGCATATGCATGCAGAACTAGCAATTACAACATTTTGCTAGAACATCTGCTTGTTAATGCTGATTCTATGGTTATTAATCTTGTTTGTAGGTAAGCAGGTGATCCACCCTAATCAAGTTGCCATTGTCCAGGAACAATTCTCCCCAAACCTTGAAAAAATAAAGTGGGCACAGGAACTGATTACAGCTTTTGAAGAACATCAGCGTGTAGGGAAGGTAAAAGGTTTTCTTCAAGACTTAGAATGTGGATTAAAATGAAAATCAGTGTCAAGTGTTCCTTGGGGGGATTTAGATGAACCTGTTAAAAGATACAGTAACACATATATAGAATACATTGAATAATAGTATTTTTATCTAGGACACAGATGTTGGGAAACAGGGTTGTGTCAAAATTTATGCCATCTTGGCTTTAAATAAAAACAATCTTCCTGAAATCATTGAATTTCTAATCTTTTAAATAAATGTAGATTACGTATTTATCCTCCAGTTAGTTCATTCCACTAAGGTTATACTGAGTTTTATCTTACTAAGATATTTGTTAAGGTGGTAATTGAAAATCAGTGCTTCTTTCTTCACAGTGAGGGATTCTTTGCAGTCTTCAGTCAAATTTATAGGGCAGCTTACAAAATACCCTACTAATTTCAAGAGCATTATTTAATTATACACACTTGTTTTAGGTTTTTTTAATTATCTGCTCTGCCCAAATAGCAGGTACCAGTTATTTTTCTAGTCACAAACTACAGTGTTCCTGACAAGGTGGAGGCACTTTTATTGCAAAGTGAAGTCAGAATACATGAAAACCTATTTTTTTTGTCTGAAGGTTCTTTTAATATTAAAGACGGCATACTAGCACTCATATATGATTGTTCCTAATTTAGTGCATCATTGAATCTCGTGTTGCCTGCTCTGTGGGTTTCTGCTATGTAAACATTGTGGTGATAAAGCACAATCTGTCTTCACTTTGTGCCAGTAACACTTAAATTAGGGGTCGCCTGAAGGAAAATTTTATGCTAGCTACAGCATTGTCAGCTAATTATCTTAAAGGTTGTTTGCTAGAACGTAGTTTACCACTTGGGGGGGGGAGTTGAAATTAAATGTGCTTCTTTTAGAAAGAGCCAAATCTGACATGCTTATCAAGCCAGCAAAGTTGTCCAGAAGTGCAGAAGAAAAAGTGTGATCCTTTTGGTGCAATTTACCCAATATTTGATTGCCAAAATACAATATTCTTAGTAAAGCCAAGTACACACATACAGAGCCACACAGAAAACCTCACAAGTGCATATGGATTGCTGGCTGCCTCTTATACAGCCCATTAACACTAAGCTGAGCTATGAAAATATATAGTGTGCTGAATAGGAATTGCATTTTTATGTCTTCTGTTCTCTGTTTTAAAGAAATACTTAGAACTCATAAGCTATTGACATTTTATACTCTTTTGTATTGTTGAAATGTGGACATATTCAATATCAAACTCTTCCGGAGCTATGGCTTAAACCACCACAGTATCATTGCTAGCATTCTAGGATGCTAGGATAACTAGCATTCTCATAAATAAAACATTATCAAGTAATTCCAAAGATATTTTAGCTACAGGTCCCTTCAAACTATTGGTGTATTTAACACTGCAACTTACTTAGCATGATTTTGAAATAAATTGAGATAAATTATCTACAATTAAGGACAGATAAAGACTCTTTTACAGAGTATCTTACCTACTTTGCAACTGCCTATAAAATGTAGTCATGGAAATTGAAGGTTCTGTGTGACCTGCTATTAACACTGAATATTATAAATATGGCACTGGATATTCATTCTGGATTAAATGCCGACCTCATTAAAGAAAGTGAGAGGGTTAGCACTGACTTCGGTAACAGCCTAGCGTCATTCAGTGGATTGAAGCAAAATGCTGTTTAAGCAGTGCTTCCTGGAAATCTTTAATCAAAATTGGAAAGTACAAGGCGTAAAAATCTGACTCTTGAAAAACCAGCCCAAATCTGACTACTTAATTTCTCCAAAGAACTGCCTTTCACTTATGGAGATGGCACTAATATTTTCATCACAATTTTCATCACAACTTAATTTTGAAATGTTCCATTTTAACATAGATAACTAAATATCTTAAACTGAAATTGTGAGTGTTGTCCTCAATTGTATTAATATATTACTCTTGTTTTCTTTGTAAATTTACACACTAATATTAAAATGCCAGCTTCTCCACTTTGTTTCGTCTTATTTTTTTTATTAAGCTAAAGCTTTAAATTTCAGTGAAGCAGGAACAGAACTTTAGTTTGATACTGTTAAGCCTTGCATGAGGAGAAAAATGTGAACATGTTTATATATGTGTGTGTGCATTAATCAAAACTGAAAGCCTGGAAAAAAATGAAACACAAAGAATTAGAATGACTAGTCTGCTCTCTGATAAATTCTAATCTTCAACCACTGAAATTACAGCTTGTTGTTAATTAGAAATTCTTAGCAAACTAAGTTTGATGCCAACACTGGACAATAGTTTATATTCACACGAAGCAAACAGTTCCCGTTATTTGTCATAATCTGGAGAGTACAGAAATATTTGCTTTGAGGGAATCTGAAATATGATAGGATATTTTAACTAAGGCATTCTAACATTATGATCGTTTTGAAATTTTAGACATCCAATAAAATCAAAATGTTTTTGTTTTATTAAAAAAAATTGCTAGTAAAAACATTCAAAAAGAGTAATAAAGTAAGGCATATTTTATTTAAATAGTATGCTATATATCTTCTCTTCATACAACTCTTCATACAACTATAAAAAGCTGAATTAATCAACATTTAACTGAGATTCTTCGGTTATGTTTTTGCTAAGTTTTCATTCATAAGAAATAAATATTTAAGTAGAATTCTTTCAAAACATATTCTAAAGAAGCATATATTTATTACACTATGTTTCTTGAGATTTAAATAATACAATAACTACCTACTACAATTTTAAAAATTTAAATCTGTACAATTTTTATCATTTTCTAAAATATTCTCAAAGCAATTCACAGTAAAATATAAGTATAATGTGATTAATTTGCTCCAAAGTAGCACATTATTAGTGCATTAAACTTTCATCTTTATTTTATAACATTTTAAAATAATATTGACCTTCAGCATCAGTTTTGAAATACATTTTAATGGATTTAACTTTAAATAATTTGTTAGTAATTTAAGCAGAAAACAGAAATATCTTTACTAGCTAAGAGGAAGATACTAGAAGTAAGAGCTTTTGTGTGTTGTACAAAGAGCCACTTCGTGTATAAGAATCATTACAGGCATAAAACAGCTAAATACCAAAATGAAATTTTTCAGTCTATCATCATTGTACATCTTTAACTGCATCATTTGTTCTGATAGCTGTTTAATGTGATCTTGCATAATATGCTAGTACTTTATTTTATAGAGACATGTTAAATGATAGAATATTGTCAACCTTCTACTGGTATTGCATCTTTTCTAACATTCCCTTTACAATTGATGATTAAACCTGCTTTGGATTTCTCATTTTCATCTTGCTACTAATAGTAGGAAGGTGCTGATCTTTAAAGTTGAAGGGATCTTGTTGTTACTGTTATCATTGTTTTTTTAAAAAAAATATTTTATTAGTTTTAAAAGTAAAACAATGGACATTGCTCAACTTCTCTGGTTTCTAACATTTGCGTCTAAATCAAGTTAATAAGTAATCTATTCCTTAATCTATATACAAATTTACAGATCTCCTATTTCAAATGTTATCGTTATTATTATTTAATATTTGACATAATAGTTGGGCACATTACTATATGCTCTGAATATAGCCGCCTGAAAATTTAAGGTTACCAGTTCTCATGATTGCAAGATTTGCTTGAAAATATCTGGACAATAGCTAATAAAATTGTCTAAATAGAATTGTGTGTATCAACCAATTTTTTAGTGCTCTGGAAAATAAATTGTAGTTGATCCAAAATAAATTCTGCAAATTAGTAAAATAGTGCAGAATTACCTTTTTCTTGTTAAAGTAAGACTTTTAAAAGTGTAAAGATCTTTGGATATAAACTATTGATCAAAGGTTGATCGGAAAAACATGGATTTCAATCCCATCTCCACCAGGGATTCTTATTTTAAGGCCTGAATATATATTAGCAAATAATCTACAGCACAGTGCTACAGGATGAGTCACCTAATATGCAATATAATCTTAGCAGGTCCTTTATAAATTTTGCTGCTACATTTTCAAAGGGTCAGAGGTTGCCCAACTGTTTACTTCAACAGCAAATTGGAGCTATTAAAAATGAAATAATTTCATTTAACTGCATAATTAAAACATAAATTTTCACATGCATATCCCTAGAGGATTGCGGTGCAGTCTGAAATAGGAAATGCATTCTTGTTTCTACAGCTGAGCTGGTGTTTATTTGAAACCCTGAGAAAGGAAAAACGTAAAGGGGTATGTGCATATGTATATTTTGCTTTCCTAAGAAGAAACAGACATTTTGAACATATGTTATATGCAACTATTTCAACATTGTTTTCTGAATCATCACAGATTTGAAGTAGCCTAATGGGATTCTGAAAAAATTAAGAGGAAATATAATCAAAGGAAAACAAATACTTCTTGTCTAATAATGGAATATTTCAAAACATTTCCTCAAATTAGAGTATGTGTGCATAAGAATGTGCTGGTGGTATGATAAACCTCAATGTGGAGCCAATATTTTTCACTAGAAAGGGAAAATATGAAGCTTCAGGAACTTGAGTGTGAAGGAAATAACGGTAAAATGGGGTGGGGCATTAGGATTGAGAAGATCAAGATGTGGCTTCAGTTTATAAACTGTGACTGCCTTAACTAATTACTCCAATGCAAATAATTTTCACTATAATTAAACCTTGGGCCATGTTTGGGAAATACATACTTCAATTGAAAGTGTTATACAGAATATCAAATTATCAATTTTTTTAAAGACCATTTCTTTATCCCTTCAAAGAATAAGATTTAATCCCTGGTGACTATTTATACAGTCTGCTGTGCAGTATTTTGCTTTCAAAAATGATTTTTTAAAAAAAAAACTTCCTTACAGTTTTGAAATTCTCCAGTGATCTCCCTTCCAAGTTCTAAGCAGGTCAAAGCCACTGAGAAGCCAAAATCAGCCAAGGTTGACTAGATGCTTCTACCTGTGGAGGTTCCTCTCACTACACTCTGATAAGCACTGATC